AACATATTTTATTGAATTCAAGGGGATAATCGTTATCAATTAGCAAATCTCGAATGGGTTCTAGAATGTCTGTTGTAGTTGGTTTTATTTTTTTAGGTTCGTTTGTTTTTACTTCTATAGTTGTTTTCAAGGAGGAGGCTTTGTTATCGATTATTTTGGAAGTATTCTGTCTTTTCGTTGGAGGTGTGTTTGCGTTTTTCAGAGGGGTTGATGAGCAGATCTTAGGTACTTTAAAATATTTAGTGTTAATTTTACTTTCTTTAGTGCATCCTGATGAAGATTCTTTTTTTTTTTGGTAGGTTTTTTAATAATTTCTTTGATAGTATCTGATCTATTACTGTCTGTAGTATCTGATCTATTACTGTTTTCATAAATTTTATTATTTTCTAACGTCTCTGTGACCATCGGATCGTTGCTTTTTCTGCTTGAAGTTATGAATTCAGTGTTGGGTGTGCTTTGAATTTTATCAGCAGCGATTGAAGTAATGTGTTCAGTGATGAGAGGGTTCCGTTCTTCAGCTATAGCATCTGAAGAAATGATTTGATTATTATTTGAGTTTTGATCTTCAGGAATAGGAATAGGTGTTATGGACTGAATAGCTAGTGGGTTTTGTCTTTCGATTACACCGTCTGAACCTATGGGTTGTGCTGTAAGTGGGATTTGTACATCATCAACTGCATCTGATTCTGGGCAATTCGCTGCGAAATGTCCCGGTTTTCTGCATACATAGCAGATTAATACATCTTCCGCTAGAAAGATACGGTGGGAGAGACCTTCACTTTGGACAATAACCGATGGTTTAATATTTTCCCTATCTTCCGGATTGATGTATACATAACGTCTAAAGCTCATTATATGGCTCGTTTTAGGGTCTCGATATCCTGCTCTTAAAAATGATATGGGAGAAAGTAATCTAATTCCCATTTCTTTAATCTCGTTTTCTATTAGACCATTTGGTATACTGGGACAAGCATTGGATATTATAATTCGTTTCGCGGGATTTATTAAGCGTCTGATAGGGATTAATTGTCCGTCTATTGTTATGTTTTTATGTTCAGTTAAGAGCTTATCTACTTGTTCCCTACTTGATAAATGTATACAAAATCTATTGTTGGATATTCGCGATGCGAACTTTATTGTTTGGGGTTCTACTAGTTCTGAAATTTTTTCGACATATTGTTTTTGTTTTATACCTTTGCGTGTTTGTAGCACTATTGCGTATTCACGGTTTGACGGTTTTTGGATGTTCATAATCTGAGCATAAGTTGGTTGACTTGATTTTTTTGTTTCTACTAAGCTACTTACAATTTTATCGGAACTTCCTTTGATAGTGATTCTACTCTCTTCTTCTTTCTCGGGTACTCCGCCAGTTAGTTCATCTTCTAGTCCTCCTTTCCATTTCATTTTTTCCGAGATGCGTTTGGTAAACGCAAACTCGAGAGGGATCCACAAACCGCTTCCGGAAAAAAGACTTTACGATAAAGGTGCTGTTCTCTTGAATATAGCTGAAGTCTTCACCCCTTTTTTTCCTGTCTGCCAGTCGTCAATTTGTTGTTTAATTGAGAGAAATTATTTTTAGAGGTTTTAGTAAAATTAATTTCCAGCTGTTATTGTAATGTAATGTTAATATAATTATTATAAATCTATATATTTAAACATTTATAAGTAAGTTCGTTATTTCAATCTTTCTAATCTTCAAAACTTTTACCCAATAATATCCAGTTGAATCATCAAATTAATTTTTATTTAGAATTTATCAAAGTTTAAAATATAATAGTGTTAAAATAAAAAAGATGCGTAAAGCTATCGATTTTTTTATTGTTTCATTTGATTCAGAATAAGAAAATACATATTACATGATCGTCTCGTATGTCTCAGATGGGCGAAGTTTTTCCCCCCAAAAATAAGGTATTTAGCATCACTGTGCGACCTAGCAATGTAGGAATAAATATTTTTTTTAAGATGGAAAGCTAATATTCGTTTTTCAAACCTCAAAACAACCCTTAAATACAAATTTCCCTACCAATCGAAAAACTACGATTTTTTTTAGTATCCTTAAAAATTTTGTTGATAGCCAAAAAATCTGTGACAAGCTTAGAATGACTTCACCGACCCACATAAAAATCGTTAGAAATTCAGGTCTGTGTTTGCTAAACGAAATTATATACAGCTGACTTTCGTAAAAAAATTAGAACTAAAGATAAAAAAATAAGAAAAAAAAGTGCTAGTCAAAATATATTTCTAAAACATTCAACTTGCAATTTGTTTATATGTTATGAATAACGAGAGGAAAGAGAAGTTTTGCTATTCTTCAATGAATGTCCTTCAAGACAAGGTTCGGGCAGGTAGAAGGACATGTGCTACACGGAGTGCAATAAAATTAGTAAGATTAGTTTAGTTTGCTGCTACCTTTCCCCTCCAGGTAACTGGCCAGAGTTCATGTCCGAATATTGTTCTTGGAATATTGGTAAATTCAAAGATATTTTTGTGTTTTACACATTATAATATAAATCGGTTTGGGGAACAAACTAATAATATATCGATGGTATTTTATGAAAATATATTAAACCGAAAATCACTTATGTATACACTCAAGTATATGTGGTTAGAACTATATATATTATAAAATTATGAAATACAAAAGAATTTTTATTCGGACTCAATTAATTTAAAAGAAATAAATATCGAATAATTGAAGGCAGTCAATTCTATTTTATTACGTATTGAGTAAATAGAAACTGATTTTAAAATATTTTTGCAAATTCATTTGGTTAATTCCTTTTTTTTCCCACATTTCTTGACGCACCAAAATTTTTTGTACTGATTATTTGATTATTGATAAATATTACATTCTGTCTCAATAAAGGACATTTATAATAGAGTTCTGAGAGCACATTCACACCATATTTACAAATAAAAAAAAATAATAAAAAAAATAAGCTAACTTCAAATCACCCAAAGGGAAAATTTCATGTTTGTTTCTCCTAAAACATTGAAAAGTATTCTCCGAAGAACCAAAGGGAACAAAGCACCAGGATTAGATAAAATTCAAACAATCCTACTGAAACAACTTCCGAAGAAAGGTTTGATGTACCTATGTCAATTATTCAACAGTTGTACTAGGCTCAGATGTTTTCCTTTATCTTGAAAACATGCTATATTATATCCGTTGCTAAAACCTGGAAAACAAGGAGCATTACCGTCCAATACGTTTGTTACCACATATTTCCAAAGTTTTTGAAGAAACAATCTTAAAATATCTCCAAGACTTTTGCCAGAAACATTCCGTAATACCTGACCAACAAATTGGATTTTGAACTCAGCTATGCACGGAGCATCCTTTAGCAAAAGTGGAATACCAAATTACCCAAAAACTGGAACGTAACGCTGCCACTGCGATGATCTCAATTGACTGCTCAAAGGCATTCGATTCCGTTTCCCACTCCATTCTAATTGAAAAACTGAAATGTTTGCAATGGCACAAACAGTTGTACTCCATTTTGAAATCGTTCCTCAATGGCCGAAATCTGACTGTAAATGTTGGTGATAATTACTCGAATGCAATACCTTTGACATGTGGAATACCTCAAGGTGCAGTCCTTTCACCAACTCTGTTCAACATTTACACTGCTGACATAATTGGCAAAAATTATACGAAGGCATCTGTAATGGCATATGCAGACGACATTGCTATATTCAGTAGCAGCATGAACGCTTCAAAAGCATTAAAACAAGCGGAAGAAACCTGCAATGTCATACAAAATTAACTTAAATTGTTAAATATCCAAGTAAATTCTACAAAAACCGAATGTATAACTTTTTCGTTTCAAAAAAATAAGAAAAAATTACCTAAAAAATTTCGAGTTGGTGATTCATACAACAAAATATCAAATAATTTGGTCTATCTAGGAATGAATTTGACAGACATCTAAAATTATCCGCTCATTTCACTTCAAAACTATCAAAAGTTAGACAAAAATCCTACAAATTCAGTCACCTTCTCACAACCTCAAACCTCAGTATCAGGTTAAAACTACTCATCTACAAAAGCATCCTTCGTCCTTCCCTTCTCTATGGTGCTCCTCTATTGTCCCACATTTCCGTAAACACAAGCAAGAGACTTCAGCGATTCCAAAATGGAATTTTAATCAGAATAGTGGAAAATACATCTTTAGAAAAACAAAAATCAGATACACTTCAGGCCTTCTTAAATTTACCCACCGTATCTGAATTCATAAACAAAAGAATAATAAAATTCTACGATTCTTTAAAATATTTAACAAATGCAGAATTCAATACCATAACATTTCCACCATCTCCTCGGTGATGGCAAAATATAGTTGTAAGTTAGATTATAAGATAGTCCTAAGAAAATTATCAAGATAGAGATGAGCCCCATCACCCAGATTGAAACTTCAGAAATAAATATAAACAAAACTAAGAAAGGCTCAGCAAGACCTTAAAATGTATCTCAGATACAGTTCAAGGAATATGTTAACCATATGTAAGAAACAAACCTTTAAGAAACTCGGAAAAAAAATGAAAAAAATAGTTAGCAAAGATTTTTTTTTTTTTTTTTTAGACATATAATATTCTGTCATGGGGACAATAATTATATTGATATGTGAACACATTTACACAGTATATACGAAAACAAAAGTAAAATAATAACTAAATAATAATAAATAAAAACTATATACAATAAAAAAATAAAATAACCTAAATATAAGTAAATTAGAAACATAAAAATACTCATACCTATATACAATATATACAATCAGGCGGGGAAACCAAGATCTTTAAAATTGGAAAAACAACTCAACCACCTTCTCGCTCCATCGTCTATCTTGGCATTAAGCTAGATCGGCACATGAAACTTTCGACTCACATTTATAATAAAATCAAATCTGTAAGATAAACTCCAACATCTTCTAATTTCCCCAACACTGTCACTTAGACTTAAATTTCTAATATATAAAAGCATTTTACGACCTACCTTGATGTACGGCGTAAATTTTTTTCTATTTACAGGTAAAGGAGAGAATATATGGGACAGATTAACCCACACGAATCCTCCCGCTATAGCCGACAACGCCACAGGAGATATCGCCTGCGACTCTTATCACAAGTATAAAGAAGATGTACAAAACATAAAAACGATCGGGGTATGTTAAGATTATTGTTGACAAATTTTTGTTGAAAAAATTACTTCGTTACCTGAATTTTAATTGAATGAAGATTGTTTTATTTTTTTTTTTAGTTCAAAATGTATAGGTTCTCTTTATCTTGGAGCAGACTTTTTCCAGATGGGTTCATTACCGAACCTAATTTAGAAGGTGTCCAATATTATAGAAATCTCATTGATGAACTTCTAGCCAACGGAATAGAGCCAATGGTAATTTTAAATCTTCTCATTTGATATAGTAGAAATCAGAATAAGAGGCAAGTGACCTCGAAGATTTCTCTGGCATAAGGAGTGAATATATTCTCCTACTGTCAGTGTCGGCTTTTGGCTATTTTTATTCTATGTAATATTTGAATTTTATTTCATTCAACATTTCTCTAATATAATTGCTTTATTGATAGGCTTAAATTAATTATTTTAATACGGTTTTTTATTCCTAACAAATATTAAGCGCCCATAAAGATTAGTTTTGCCAAAATGCAAGACCAAGGTGTCTTGGTCTTGGTCTTGCGCAATAGTCTTGCATTTAGTTGCCTATTAGCTTATTGTTAATTATTCCAAGACAACTGTTTTTCTCTTTACATTAACGAATCACCCAACCTTTAATGGGCACCAGCTACTATTTCCTCTACTTTACCTCAATAACCATCCCATCCATTTTTTCCCTACAGTCAAAAACCTAGGAGTAACCTTTGACCAGAACCTCTCCTGGGATAATCATATCTCTCAGATTACCTGAAAATCCATAACTGCCCTTAAACAACTCCTAAGATTCCGTGATTGTATTCCTCTAAAAACCAGACAGCTCCTTGTAACCTCCCTTGTATTCCTCCACTTCTACTACGGCTGCTTTTTGTATGGAGGGATATCTGCCAGGCTGGAAATGAGACTAAAGAGACTAATGAATTGTTTCATAAGATACATTTTCGAGATCCCCAGACGTAAAACTGTGGCAATACACCTCAAACAGTTAAACATTTACAATAAGAGTGCCCCCAATATTAAAAAATTAAAGTTTTCGACAACATTGAAACATATTTTGGGAGACAAGGAGGAAAATGTCGTCATTCTCTTACAATATTTATGGGAAACAAATCCCTATAGTAAAATATAAAAATTAGAAAAACCGCCAATGACCCTTTAGGTTAGGGGCGAATACAAAAAGTAAATAAAAAAAATAAAAATAAATGTTATGGGGCCTAACTCTCTAGGTATATATTATACGGTAAAATTTATAATAAAACTTTTAAAAGGTAATTAAATTACCAAAAAAACAAAAACAAAAAAAAATACTAAGCTATGGCAAAAAGTTTTTGATCAGGAATATTAGTATTGAAATTTTTACACTGATCTACCTTAAGCCGGTTTACATTGCTTTAATTTATCAAATAAATCGTACTAAAATCTTATGTTTGATCAATTTTCAGGAAAATGTATCTAGTTCAATTATTTTTTTTTTCTTCAGAAACATATGTAAAGATAAAAAAACTTTTTCTAGAATAGATAGAAAAGTTGTGTGAGTGGACACTCCAGATACTTTTAATTGTGACCTTTACCATCATAATTTTGTTCTGGCTTACTACTTTTTACAATTAATACATAGATATATAAATACATACATACATAAATATATTCTAAAATTAATTCATTTTCTTTTCTTAAGGTAGCACTATTCCATTGGGACCTTCCTCAACCAATACAAGATATTGGGGGATGGCTTAATCCTGTTATCGTTGATATTTTCGCTGAATATGCCAGAGCTGTGTATGGATTATTTGGATCAAAGGTAATCCAAAACATCAGATTTTAAACATGAAACCTTGAGATATCTAGAAGTTATATATCACATCAAATCCAGTGCTAGCAAACTCACAAAGAAAGTGGTGCTCATTAAAAAATTACACGATTTTGCTGTAACAACCTTTTTATAAATCAATATCTTTTTCCATTGACATTCTTAAAAAATGAAATCAAATTTTATCAGAAAGATAAAAGACAAACTACTACATAATTTCAGAATAATTAGCACCATTGAATATTTATAATTAAAGACAAAAATTTTATTTTAGAGCCAGACTGTTAAATTCAAAATTTTTTTATTTTATAATCATAATTAATTTGGTTAATCAACCATAATTTTTTAGATTAGCTTTTTCTTGATATGATTTTTTCTTCTATTCGATTGGCGTAAATTTATTTATTGATTTCTTTCAGGTGAAATGGTGGCTTACGATAAACGAACCGGAAAGAATTTCTGTCGGATATAAGGGCCAATTAGCCCCATTATTGAATCTAGATGATTTCGGTATGTACTTTTCTGGTCACAATGCGCTTAAAGCTCATGCCAAAGCTTATCATATATATGATAAGGAATTCAGACCATCACAAAAAGGTAGATTATTTTCTTATTTTTACAAATCAATTATTAATCAGCTACAAATTAGCAAATCTGTCATTGATTGATTAAATTACACACAATGAATTATGATAACCTTGAATTCATAATGAAAAAACTGAGAGGGATGTTACAGCTATCGTTAGTACAAAAGTCCACATGTAAACATTTAGTTTTATATATATATATATATATATATATATATATATAATAATAAAAATGTATATATATATATATATATATATATATATATATATATATATATATATATATATATATATATATATATATATCCATTTTAATAATATTAAGTAAGACTTCTGTATATTTATATATAAGTTCATATATTGTCCTAAGGATAGAAGAGTATGCTGTGTGTATAGCAACCCAATATAATTGGGCAGCAATCCTTTATATTTTATGAAAATAAAGTGTTTCTCTCTCTACAAAATTATAAAAACTGTTTATTTTTTTATGATTCTTTGGTAGTTTATTAGCCAAAATTTCATATTTTTTTTCCTACACTATTTTGTTTCATGTACTATTATATATTATAGCAAACTTATTATCATAGCAGACTACAAAATGTCACCTTTAGCGCAAATAGAATTAACATAGAAAATTATTACATATGATCTTTTGCACTAACACTAACATTATATTTCTTTATGAATTCAATAAAATTAATTATAATCTTTGTTTTTATTTTTTATTTATTTTGTTATTTTAAATTTGCCACTGCGTTGGAACGCATCAAGCAAATGTGTTGGCGTTAATTATATCTTCTTGAATTCCTGATATCTTCTTAACTTTTCAACAGATCTCTAGGCCACTGCCTTTTTAGTCGTCTTTGAGGCTCACCAGGTAACAGGGAGGAAGATAGAGATAGAACGAGTGGATTTGGATGATTGAGAGTAGAAGTGTGAAATGTTGTGTATTTGTTGTGTATGTAGGATTTTACTTTCGGTATGTTCATGTCTTTGTGTATGGTGTGATTTGAAATTAACCAAGGAAAATTGACAATTTTACGGAGTATTTTGGATTGTGTGGTTTGAATTTTGTTGATGTGTGTGTGGTTTGCGGAACCCCATAGTTCTGCTCCGTTTGTCCAAATAGGTCATAGTATAGTGGTGTAGATTAGTCGCTTGTTTAGTAAGTTGATTGGAGATCTGTAGTCTAAAAGATGTGACAGTTGTTTGTATCGTCTGGTCAGTTCTTGTTTTTTTAATTTAGTGTGAATGTTCCAGGTGAGTTTTTTGTCCATGTATTGTCCGAGATACCGTACATATGTTTTTGAGGGAACTGGTTTATTGTCTATAGTCACAGCAGGACACGAGATTTTCCTCAGAGAGAAGCTAACATGAGTTGACTTGCTGGGATTGATGTTAATTCCCCATTTGTGAAACCATTTTTCAAGGACGTGCAGGTGATTTTGAAGGGCTATTGAAGCGATAGTGGGATTTTTGTGAGAACAAGGTATTGCCGTATCGTCAGCAAAGCTATAGAGAATGGTGCTAGGGTGCTCAGGGATATCAGATGTGTAGATAGAAAATAGAAGAGGGCTTAAAACACTACCTTGTGGTACGCCCGCAAGTTGAGGAAAGAAGGGAGAAGTAGAGTAATCAATAGTAATACTGAAGAACCTGTCAAGAAAGAAAGATTGAAGAATCAGAAAGTAAGTTGAAGGAAGGTGTGGTTTTATTATCCACAGTAAACCTTTGTGCCAGACGCTATCAAACGCTTTCTCGATATCCAGGAATATCGCTGAGCAGAATTCGTTTTTTTCGAAGGCGACTGAGATAGCGTCTACTATACGATGACACTGTTGTACAGTGGAATGGTAAGATCGAAAGCCAAATTGATGATTCGGAATAACTTCCCGACTTTCTAGGATTGGATTTATTCTAAGAAGAAATAATTTTTCAAATATTTTGCCCATTATGGGTAAGTGTGCAATCGGACGATAAGAAGAAGGGTTACTGGTAGGTTTAGAAGGCTTAGATATCATTTTTATTGTAGAAAATTTCCAAAAGAGAGGGAAATAAGTTGTGCGTAAGATAGCATTATAGATGTGAGTAAGAAAGATAATGGCTTTCGGGGTAGATGGCGAAGGATGAAGGGAGTGATAACATCATAGCCAGGAGCTTTTTTGTTTGAAAGTCGGTTGAGTTCCTTGTAAATGTGTTTTGGGTGAAATGCTGGCGGAGGTGGTGATAAGGGTAGTGGGGTTGTCAAATCGTCTTCAATCTTAGTATTGTGCGTGTTGTCCTGAATATTATTCGTCCCAAAAACCTGAGCAAGATGTTTTGCGAATTCATTAGCTTTTTCTTCGCCTGTTATGGCCCAGGTATTGTCCGTCCGTCGGAGAGGATATTGAACATCTCTTGTCTTGAGTATACGTCTTGTTGCTGTCCATATTGATTCACTTCTATTGTTCATTGAATTTAGGTAGTCCTTGTAACTGTTATTTTTAAATGCTGACAGTTCTTGTCGGATTAGTCTGTTAAGAGCTATTTTGTGTGATGGATATCTGCTTCTTTGCCACAGAGCTCTAGTTCTGCGTTTTTCTTTTATGAGATTGCGTATACCCAGAGGCAGGTAAGAATCAGTTTTGGTTAGTGACCTCGTTGGTGTAGTCGAATGCCAGATCACATTGTGTATGCATTCTGTAAAGTAGTTGACTGCGTCGTCAAGTTCGTCTGCTGTATTGATGCAAGTATTTAGTATAATTTTGTTGTTCAAGTAATTTTGAAAGTCGTCCCAGTTTATGAAGCCATTAATTAAAGTCGGTGGTTTAGATTTTGCGAAAGGGTGTTTTGACAGTTCTAGTAAAATTGGGCTATGATCAGATGATAAATCGAAAAGAGAGGAAATTTTGGAGTGTGGGAGTGGTAAGGAGCGTGTAACAAAGAAGTCGAGAAGATCGAGAGATTTTGATAGAGAAGTTGGCCAGTAAAGAGGTTGTGATGGGGAAATAATAGATAGTTTAAGATCCTCAATGCATTTTAGTAATCTTTTACCTCGAGTGCTTGATAGTCTAGAGCCCCACTTTAAGTTCTTAGCATTGAAGTCTCCACCTACTAAGAAATGTTTCCCCATTGGTTTCCCCATAGAGACAACTTTGTTGGGAGCAATATATACTGCAGAGACCAAAAGCTGCAGTTTTGGTGAGTTGAGAGAAATATTGGTATATTGGTATGAATGGTACTAGAAATATTGGTATACTGAATACTGAGAAATATTGGTACTGAAAAAATATTGGTACTGAAATACTGAGAAATATTGGTATGAATGGTACTAGATAGGGTTGCAGGAAGTATATGATGGTTTAAAGATTTGTCCACAATGATTGCTGTACCTCCATGAGCCGTATGGTCTGGATGATCGGTCCTGTAAGTTTCGTAACCTTGTATCTTGAATGTTTGTTTGTCAGTTAAATGAGTTTCTGTTATTAGTGAAATATTTATGTTGTGTTCTTTTAGACAGATTTCTAGTTCGTTTTTGCGTAAGAGCAGACCATTAGAGTTCCACAGGAGTATTTTAAGAGAAGGTTGTGTTGGATTAATCATTGGAAGAGTTTGAGATGAGAGCAGGACTAATTTAGTGAGAAGTTCCAGAATTGGTGAAAGAAGGGATTTTAGGTCAGATAAAAAAGGTTCAATTGAAGATTTTATAGCAGATGAGATATCAAGTGACGAGGAAGGAGGATCAAAAGATAGTACGGAAGAATAACTCCCTGTTACTTTGGCAGCTGGTTCACGAAATGGCTCCGATGGAGGAATATCCCTCATCCTTTCTTGTTCTAATGGAGTAATTTCATCATTCTTTTGGCGTTGTAATGAATTGGCATTAGTGGATTCAGAACGATTTTCGGTTCGAGTAGAGGAAGATTGTTCATCTGCTCTGGTTTCTGGGGATATATAATTGGTTAATTGCTTGTTTCGAAGTTGTTTTAAAGTTTTAAAGACAGTGCATCCTTTGAAGTTTGCCGGGTGTTCACCATTGCAGTTGGCACAAGTGGCAGGAAGGCTACAGTAGCCTTTTGTATGGCCATAGGCATGGCATCTTTGACATTGTGGTGGTTCTTTTCGCATGTATGGCTCTTCTATTTTTATTTTTGTATAACACAAATATTCAAGTTTGAATATCTCCTGATTTTTCGGGTGTTGTTCCAGGTCAATAAAGAATATCGGCAAAGGAAATTTCGTTTTTGGATGTTGTGCGTTGGTTATATTTTTAACTTTATATCTCTGATCATTAAGTTCAACTGTAATGTCTTCAGTTGGAGTTGTAGGATGGAGATTTCTAATAACTATGCGAAAACATTTTTCTTCCTGGAGTTGGTATGTATGAAATAGGGCGTTTTGTGTTTGCAATAGTTTTATAATTTTGCGATAGTCATCTGAAGTGGACGGGTAGATAGTTGTCTGATTCATGCTGCAACTACAGTAAAATCCTCGAGGACCTACTTCAGATGCCAAGCTTTGACATAAAGTTTTAAAATTTTGGACAGATTTCACATGAATAGGAGGAGGCTTTGAAATTATGCAAGGTTTTTCTTGATTTCTTGGTGAGTTAGTCGTGGTAATTATAATCTTACACATAATAACAATAAAAATGTATTATGCTCGTAGTTATGTTTAATGTATAGAATGTGTCTTAGTTTTTAATAGTTTATCATTTACCAGATACTTTGAGAATACATGATTTGATTAATAACGATAAAGTATTTTTTAAGTCTTCACTCTAGAGGAATTTTCTGTTTTGTTTTTAAAATTTTTATTACTATACTTAATAATAATTTTAGATTTATTGCTTAGTCAAAATTTCTTTTTGATGATTGAAAAAACCCAAAGGTTAGAAAAATCTTAACTATCTTGTTTTTCCTTGATATAAAAGAAATTAATTATGATTACAAAAATGTTTTGTCAACCATTAGCTTCTATTTTATATACTTCCCTACACCTGTTTATTTATATCTTTCAATTATAGTTCTATTTGTCCGTGGTGCAAACCCCTTTTTATCGAATTATTAACATCCAACTGACACTTTGTAAATGGTTTCATCTCATCGTAAACTACAAATATTTTATTTACGAATGCTGTTGGAATTGGTGCATTTTCAATCTGGAGGAGGGTAAACTTTGTCTATTTAATTAGGTACTAAAAACTCGTAAATACCCATTTGCTTTCTACTTAATTACAAAACTAAGAAAAAAGGAGGCCACCAAAAATATTGAGCCGTTTTGCGTGATCTACACCCCCAAATTTACAAAATAACGAGGTTAAATTGGACAAACAGCCTAATATTATTGTAGGCCACATTTGTATCGATTGTAAAGTTTCAGGCGGATGTTAATAATTCGATATGGAGTCTAGACCACGGACTATATTTCATTCCCATTCGAGCTCAGAACATTAAGACAGGCTAAGGTAAGGGTGAAAAGATAAGATTACGCAAAAAAAAAGAAGCCTTGTTCACAATTGCTCCTGATTTGAGGCCTTTGAATCCAAATAATAATTTTTTGAATACTATTTTAATAATTTTATAACTTTTGGGAATATACCATAATATATCATAATAATTTTTTTCATTTATTATAAATATTGTATGTTCAAAGAGCAAAAGAGTCTGTGAGACATAATTCTAGCTCTATGAAATTCTCCGGTTTTTAATAATAATTTAGAATAAAAATTCAATACTTCACCCCCCCCTTTCAATTCAATACCCAAACTGCTTTCTTCACTTCTACATTGCTTATGAGAGATTCTGAGCTATAATAATATACCTGTTGCTGAACCATAAAAAATAAAATAAACCAAACGAGTTCTTAACTTAGCATTTAAATTTTCAAGATTTGCTTTCGTTCATCTAAAATTATTTTTAAAAACATTCCAGGTAAAGTAAGTTTTTCTTTAAGTGGTGCCTATTTTATTCCCAATGATCCAGATTCAGCTATTGATCTCGCTGCAGTGGAAACAGCATTACAGATTTCGGTAATTTCTACATAAAAAAATATATACTTGTACAATTTATAAAATACTTTACTAAGTATTTATCTGTTTTTGCAGTTTGGTTGGTTTGGTCATCCTATATATAGTGAGGATGGTGATTATCCAAAAGAGGTAAAAGAATTTCTGCACAAAAACGGTTGTGTCGAAGGAATTCATCCTTCATCTTGCTTACCTCAATTTACTCAAGAAGAAATAAATGAACTGAAAGGTAGGTATTCTTTTATTTTTATCATAATAGAATAAAGATTTTCCAGTAAACATTACAATTTTAAAAAATTAAAATTCCTCTAATGCTCTGGTTTTAATCTTTATAAAAGTAGAAATAAGAAAACATTATAATTTTGATAGTATGACATTTTTAAATCTTACATGTCCAATAATCCTACAAGCTTGAGACAAACTATGGAAAAATGGAGGGAGGTCCCGTTTTTCCCTAGTTTGTCTTGAGGTCCTGTCTTACCATTGTTGTTTCTAATCACTGAAGGATCTACAGAGAAGGCTTTAGAGTTGAGGTCCCAAAACTGTAAAAATATATATTTTTTTCTTTGTTGGTTAATAGCTGTTTATATTAGTAACCTTAGCTGTCTTAAATAATATATATCTACAATATTAAATAATCACAATATATTCTCCTTTTAAATGAAAATGCTTATATTATATTATAATTATGGGATTTTCTTGTTCGACTAAATTCGACATATCATATAGACATTGAACATGGATATTTTTTACAGGTTCATCTGATTTCTTAGGTTTAAATCAATATTCTACTAATCTAGTAGTTAATGGTACAATAATTACCAACCAGAAACCGAATCCAGGAGATACAGAAGTAATTATTCCTGTGGTAAATCGACGTTGGAAACAGACAGCCTGCTTTTGGCAACAGGTAATATTTTTTAATTACGTGGATTTATTACAAAAAGTCATCAAGTAATATTTCATCAAGTAATTAAATTAATAAGTTCTTTCATCAATTTTCTCCAGGATATATCAGAACATTTGGCTTTTAGTGAAGCTATTCAAAATTTATTATTTAGCTAGTATAAATAAACAGGTTTAGGTAATTTGGATGCACTCACTATCTTTTTGCTATAGTAAATAATGTCAAATTTCATAAGGATGTATTTAGTGACTTTTTGCACAATATTGACAATATTTCCTCTCATCCACTAATAAATTAACATATAGATATAATTAGAAATTATTTTCAATGAAAATGCTACTAAAAAATCTAGCTGTTTAAACAAAACATAAAATACAACTTTTGAAGAAGAAGAAGAAAGTAAATTTTATTCCGCGACGTTTTATCCCCTAAAAATGACAAACATGAATTATAGCGATTATCTTATGATATAGATTTGTCTGGCTCCTAATGGCTGGGAGATAATAATTAGTTTACAAAGTTGTGTAACATTAAATAAAATTAAAGTACTAGCCTAAAAAATAATAAAAAAGTGAAACTCATCTGACTCCTTAGATTTGAATAATTACAATACAAATTAACTACTATAATAATCTACCAGAAACCTAATCCAACAGAAACAGAAGCAATAGTAATTATTCCTGAGATAAATCCTTAAACATTAAAATAAAAGTCAAGTACTAGAATAAATATTCATAAAAAAATGACATTATAGGTAAATAGATTTCCGTGCGTTTACATATTTGCACGGTAAGGAACATTACTGTGAAATAACAATAGGATAAGATTGGTAATATATGTTATTCGTACGAATATTCGGAAGATTGATTGTTAAGAAGGAAAAACAATTGGTGTTTAAATGAAGCTACAGATGAGATTATGTTTACGGAAATGGGTAAGGAATTCTAAAAAAATGTAGCACGCATTATAAAGGAGTTTTCAAAATAAATTGAGAAGGAAGATACATGTTCGTTTGCTGGTATCTTGTGTTAATTAAATTAAATTGACAGAGGAACAGCGAGTAAACAAATCAAGAAGATAAGAAGAGTTTTTGGTTGTAATGAATAAACCAAAGAAATATTTCCGTTGGGAAACTGGATATAGTCACTTCAACTAGGAATACCCAACGGAGACATGCAGGCACCTAGGAACTCCATAGATAAATCTAGATGAATTTTGTCACTTTAAAAAAAATATATATATTCTGAATGAGATTTTTATTGAGATCTTTCTTTAAAAGATCAATTTTTTATTTATCGATATATTTTATACGTGCAAACAAAACATGTTATTCATAGAAATCTCAGAATTTATCACGACTAATATTAATAGTTAAGAAGAATGTTATCAATATATGTAATAATATTTAATAATATCAAACTATTTTGGTTTTAAACTATATAATCTTAATTATTTTCAGGTGGTCCCGGAAGGATTGAGTGGTTCAATCAGATGGCTAAGAAAACAATATAATGATCCTCAAATATTTGTAACCGAGAATGGCTATTGTGGCTCTGATGATGGTAGTGATGACGAAGAAAGAATTTACTACTTTAGTGTATATATTTTTAATGGCTACATAAAATAGAATAATTATTTTCTATTTTGTCATCATAAGTTTGCTTTTGGCCTGCTTCTAATATTATGTTATCACGATTTACAATTCTACAGATCCTTTGCATTGGAAAATGAAATATTACAAAAATATAGACCGACCGGAAGACTTTAATTTCTCTTGTACTTTCTTATAATTCTTGGATCTTGGCATAATATATCTTACCATATTGTTACCTATAGTACTTAACACTGAATAGAAGCCTTAACACACTAGTAGACATTGTTGCACGTTTTGTCTATAGACTCTATCGAGATCGGTCTATAGATACCGTTCTTTGTCTCGTCTAGCGTCCACACTACGATATAAATTTCTCCGTCTCATCTTCCTACCCCATAATGGAGGACATAGTTCTGTTTGAGATGAGTTCCTACTTAGTCCTAATTACGAGTAAAAGAACGGGTGAATATAAACGTCGGTGGATGTACAAAATGCTCGCAGTAGTACCTTAGTACTTGCTGCAAGTACCTTGCTTAGATAATAATTATTAAATAAATTAAAACTGGGAGACGCCACGGTAATCTTCAATTAGTTTTAAAACTTTCTCATCAGTCCACCAGTTTTCAGAAGATCTGCATACATTTGGAAAATAGCTGAAAGCAGCAGAACCAACAACTCGGTGGCTGGAGACAGACTGGGACTAGTTTCGCCTATATACGCCGGTTGACGTCTATATGATAGGCGTAACATGTCTAACGTTGCATAATGTCTCCCATTCCGATCGAGAGACTTTAGACCTGCGATTTTTCATCTCGCAACAGGCCTGTATACAGGGATTTGTCTATAAACATGTTTACAAACTGAAACACGTTTTAGAGACCACAATCGCACAACATGTCTACTATTGTGGACTAGGCTTAAGCATATTTGTGACGTAAACCTGTTAAATTAAAATCAGATAACTTTCATTTGGAATAAGGATCTGATTTTCATTATTATCATCATCTTAAAGTAAACTAAGATGCTATTACAAATCTGACCTTTAAAACACATTTTTTAAACAGACGATTTCAAGAAAAGAAAGATAGTTTATGATATCTTTAGTAAATGAAATTGTATATCCAATATTTTTTTTACATCTATTTTGGTTTTAATTTTCTTGGATTTCTTATTCAAGCTTCCACCACAGAGTAGTCCCTCTTTAGCCAATGTCTTTTTTGCTTAGGCTCATTCCTCTTGATGAATGAACAACTGTCCTTGCTCTTTTCTCTAGTCTCAAAAGTTGTTGTAGATGGGATATTCCTTTTCAAGTTTTATTAGTGTTAGTAGTAAAGGAGTCACTACTATATAGTAATGAGTATCTAATAGTGACTCCTTCAGTATAGGGACATTTGTTATAATGATAGATTCTCGACTTCCCAGAGTATTTATTCACAGAATCCTCTAAAGTTGTGGTTGGATACTCCCCTTCTCCTTATTTTGTACTCCATCCGTAATTGAAATTGTGTATCCTACCATGCCACATGAAAATAGTAGTTGCCTGGTGTCTGTGATTCTATTAACCAACAGCCATTCATAAAAAGCTTATGGTGTTTCCCCTACAATGGTGGATGTTTATCGACTTCAGAATCTAGATCTCTCATATTTAGTTACTCTTGGGCCAAATCGAGCAGGGTGTGGCTCTACACCGCTCACAGATAATCTTGGTTTTTGTTTCGTGGTGGGCCCTTGAACTACGTGCAGAGCCGCTACAGGGGGTCGGGGTCACCAATTGTCGAGGTAAAATATGCAGAGAATATGCATTTATCAGAAGGCCTCGACAGAGCGTTGCTCAATTTAGGGGTATGATGACTAAGTGGACAATTTATTTTACAATTAATTTTTGTGTTAAACGCCTTTTTCTGTAACTGTGTTACATTTTAAGGCCTTATAGAAATTGTCTTTTATGTTTTGTTGTAACAATAATTATTAAAGTTATCAGTAAAGGTGATGGAGCTCACCCATTTTTGTGTTTATAAGTGCCTTATTTGCATAACTTAATAACTAACCTACTAGCTAACTTATTATCTAATATTGAACTAAGACTGAACTTGGCCACCTTACTGGAGTTAGTGTATTGAATAGAGGATTTGGAAGTGTTTTATCAACGAGTCCATAAATTTTTCGTGTCATTTTAAAATGAACTGTTCAATCGTGGGAAGTTCAAAGATCTGGTGCAGCTGATCTAACTTTAATTTTTTTAATGAAGTGGACCTAGTAATTTTTCTCAATACACTGTTTTGGTATCGTTGGATGTGTTTTAGTGTGCCGTCAGTGAGGTGAGTGAAGAGTGGTGCGCCGTACATCAAGGTAGGTCGTAGAATACTTTTATATATTAGTAATTTAAGTCTAAGTGACAGTGTTGGGGAAGTTAGAAGATGTTGGAGGCTATATGTTTTCAGTCTTACAGATTTAGTTTTTTTATATATTTGAGTCGACAGTTTCATGTGCCGATCTAGCTTAATGCCAAGGTAGACGATCGAGCGAGACGGTGGTTTAGTTGTTTTTCCAATTTTAAGGATCTTTGGCAGCCTACTTCTTTTTCCTTTTTGAAGTGAGAACACTACACAATCAGTTTTTGAGCTGTTTACTTTAATATTTAAGAGTTCCAGTTTCTGTACAATTGTTTCGCAAACAGTCTTGGCTTGAGCTAGTGCTTTGGTAGGGTTTATGCTTGCACTATAAACGGCTATATCGTTGGCGAAAGCGGCAATAGTAGAGCGTTTGTAGTTCTGACCTATGATTTCCGCCGTGTAGATGCAAAATAATAGCGGTGAAAGAACTGCTCCTTGGGGTAGACCGCAGGTTAAGGGGACATTACGGGAGTGTTTATCTTGTACTATACAGCCAGGCTTCGGTTTGTTAAGAAGGACTGTATGATACTGTAGAGCTGTTCAGGGCACTCAAGATCAAGTAGCTTCCGGCAGAGAATGCTGTGAGATACGGAATCAAATGCTTTCGAACAATCTATAGATATCATTGCTGTGGCTGTGTTTTTATTGAAATTGTGGCAGATTTCAGTTTCATTAAATGGTGTTGAGTGTTTAGTTGTCCTTGGAAACCTGTTTGTTCATATGGTATGACTGATTGCTCCTCACAGAAATCCCTAAGATAATTCAGAATTATTTTTTCAAAAATTTTGCGATGTGTGGCAGCAAACTGATAGGTCTGTAGTGTTTTGGAGCATTGCATGTTTCAATAGAGGGAACAGTATTGCGTGTTTCCATTGTTCTGGAAAATATCTCAGTCGGAGGCAGGTATTTTATAAATTCGTAAGATGTACTATACCTCTCCGAGGAAGTTGCTTTAGCAAAATGGTTTGTGAACCGTCTTGACCCTGTGCACGGTTACCGCTGGTTCGTCGAATGATTTTTTTTTTTTTTTTTTTTTTCTAGCCCCTATGGATAAGGATATGTATTATTACAAAATGTTTGCTTGTTTGGCTTTTTGCTGAATCTGAGATTCATTTTAAAGCCTTTTTGTGTTATATATGTCTTATGATCTTTTGTTAATCTTTAGATTAACATTTTTGGGAGTAAGAAGACGTTGGGGCACGTCTTCGTTATGAGGTTTTTGAACATAAAACTAAAACTAACCTAAGCCTAAAACTAACAGGTGGTAGAGCCTATGTGACTTTTGTTTTGCCAGCTTGAGTCTTTGTCTGATATGACTGGAGAATGTTAGGTGTCTATCCAATGTCACGCCGAGGTAGACTACTGAAGTGGAGATCCGCTGCTCCACGCTACCGATGATGAAGTGAGTGGGTAGTGGCTTTTTCCCTTGCTGGAACGACATCACGATAGCGTTGGTCTTCATGGGGTTCACTCTGATGCCATTTTTCTCTAGCTCTCCGACGATGACATCTGTGGCTTTTTCTGCATGCTTGAGGGTTCTCTTTGCATTAATGCTCGATGCATAGATCCCGATATCGTCAGCATAGGCGGCTACCACTGCGTTTGGGTGCTTGAGTGCCACTACTGGCGCCGTAAAAACGACGAACAGTAATGGTCCCAACACAGACCCTTGAGGTACTCCACAGGTGGTATCGACTGGGTTAGAGTAGTCGTCACCAACTCGTACGACGAGAGATCTTCCGCTAAGATAGCTTCTGATAAGTCGGCATAGAGGGGCTGGGAACTTGTACTCTTCCAGCCGTCGGAGTAACAGCGCGTGAGACACGCAGTCAAAGGCCTGGCTGCAGTCCAGTGAGATGAGTGCCGTAGCTCTATTGTGATTCATCTGCTCTATGGTGTGTGCCTAAAGTTTCGCCAGGTGATGTTCGCAGGCGACACCTCGTTGGAAACCTCTGGTGGTATAACGTTCTTCTCCCTACAGTGTTTTATGAGATGGTGATGAATCAAGCGCTCGAAGACCTTGCTGATGTGCGAGAGGAGGCTGATTGGGCGATAGTGCTCAGCCGCGTCTCCTTTCTTCCCCGGCTTTAGTAGGGGTACTACGATTGCTTGTTTCCAGGCTGTGGGAAAGTACGAGATTCGCAGGCTTGAGTTGAAGATGTTCAGAAGGAAGGCTTTACCCTTCCTTGGGAGCATCTTTAGTAGCACATACGGTATCTCGTCCTGTCCTGACGCTTTGTTTCCCTTAGTGCGCCGTAGTACCGACTCAAGCTGGTTAATACTGGAGAAAACGGGCTTCTCGATGAGACTGGGAGATGGTCCATCCTGTACAGGAGGGGCACTTCTCGTCCGCTCTGCGTCACCCGCTGCATAGCTTTTCGACAGTAGTTCAGCCTGTTCCCCGGGTGTTAGCAGCGCGTCACCTTCTGTCAGATGCACACTTCTCTTCTTGCTGACGAAAGTCCTGATGAGTCTCCAGAACTGGCGGTGATCATCGTGTGTCCTCCGTAGCTGATCATGCCAGAGAGAAGTTTACCAGTCACGCATGAGGCTAGCTATCTGCCGGGTCATCGCATTGATGGCCGGCTTCAGGTTATAATCGCGGGTGCGCTGGAAGATGTTTCTGATGTTGTTCCGTTG